CCGTTCCTCTGTCTGCGATCAACAATGTATCATTAAAAACAGCACCAGTAACGGTGGTCTTCTCACCCCCCTCCTGACTGCGTTAATCAGAGTGGATGGGTGCCACACTGCCGAGAATGAAATGTCTCCGTAGTTTGGATGTTGGTGTCAGCATTCGATGCCGTCGTCTCGCCCCGCTCTACCGTTCACAACTTTTTGCTATTACGAATGGAAACTACGGAGACAGTGGGGTAAAACGAGGCCGATACTCAAGTTGTTACGTGGAGATTATAATAGAAGCGAAAGATGTGGATTTCGAACGCGATTAAGAGAAAACAGCAACAGTCTATTCGTGTTAAAGTCATAGGTTACGTTACGCGTCACTATTTAGCTTGTGTGGGTTACATAGCGTATTTTTATTTAACACTAGATGACCCGGTAAACTTTATATCACCTACAATATCATATATTAAGAACAATTCTAAGTAGCGATTCCTATACATTATTTTTTATTTTTCGATGTTATCTGGACTCTAGATTTATTTCGACCTTTATATTTAAATTAAAAATGTCCAAATCAATGTCGTTTTGGAAAATTTTGCGAGACTAATGAAAAACAACTGCTTATACTGGGAGGGTGGGGGGAGGGGAATGTTAGTAATATGGGGTCAAATAACCCCGTTACTAGCAATATACCCTATCAGGTCGACCTCCACGTGGTTCCTTCTGGAAACCATCGTGGTTAATTTTAGTTAAATTCGTCAGGATGAGCTAACTGACTTGCTTTCATCCTCATCAGTCATCTGGGCTTACCGTTATCACCCATTAAAAAAATACTAATAATTATTGATATTATATGAATTAAAAGATTTGACAAAGGTAAACAAAGACTTTTGCATAGGGAGTTCTATTTTATTTATAGGCATGTGCTCCATAGGTATTACAACTGCATTTAATTGCGTCAGATAATGTCTCAATGTTTGTGATTGTTATGAATGTTGAGGTTCGGTGGTGTGTGCCGTGAGAAGTGCTCGCCACTGGATTGTTAACGTGCGATTCATGAATGTACACAAAGCAAAAGAACTATGCGGAAACACTGAGTCGTGCTCCACCCACCTACAGGCAGACGTACTGTAAAAAATATGTTTGTTTATATAATAAACTCAGGTCTCTGTCTAAAGATGGGGCAGACAATCCATCATAATCAAGCTGAGTCAGGGGCATGATTAGTAATAGGTTTTGCAGGGTCTTATTTTATCCATGATCAATAAAAATATAGGCCATTTATTAGTGAGAAATTATTACCGTAGCCTAGTAACCGTAAGGTGCTTGAAAATAAAATCGTTGTATTAAACTAATATATATATATATATATATATATATATATATATATATATATATATATATATATATATATATATATATATATATATATATATATATATATATATATATATATATATATATATATATATATATTTGCTGTCGTCGTTCGTGATGTTACGCGTGGACACCACAGAATATCAGCGCTGTAGCAACTAAATTGATGATTTTTTTATTGATAATTTATGTAACTTTTTTGTTATTGGCAATAAAAGTTTTCTTGTTTTCTATCTTTCTTTTATGCTCTCGGCCGACTTAAAAAAAATTAGGTTAGTTGTATTTTTTTGTTTTTTTGCCCCATAACTCCGTTACCTGCATACCAATAAAGCAATATATCTATTACTATAAAAGAAGTCAATGTATGAGTATGTATAGTAATAATTTGGTAAAAAATATATATTTGACTACATACAAAGATCCTTGCAGTATAGGTAAAAAGACCAAGTATAAAACTTCTCTATCCTTGCATCATATTTTTTGTAAATCAACAAAGTAAAAGTCGCTTAAAGAAAATGTTGCTAGTAATTTAAAATGGCTGAATGTCTTAATTATATTTAGACTAAAAAAACAGTTCACCAGAGGCTATCAACGGAAGTAATTATTGTGGCGACCAAAATACATAGCATGCAATTACCAACAGAAGTAATCAGAGCCATCTCAAAAATGGGGTTAAATTATGTCCGTAGAAAGATATTATATTAGTGTTTAGTAAACCTAATTATTGTTATTATTTTTTTTATAGCACAGGGGGCAAACAAGCAAGTGACTACCGCCGCCCATGATCACCTAGAACACTAACGGCATGGCAGGTGTGCTGCCGCCCTTATAAAAAGGAATATGCTCTTTTCTTGAAGGTTATGATATTGTATCGGTTCGGAAATACTGTTGCTGGAAGTGAATTAAATGTCTGAAATCTATACTAATATTATAAAGAGGAAAGATTTGATCATTTGTATGGAATAGATAAACCCGAAAACTATCTAAGAAAATTTTAAAATTCTTTCATCTATAGAAAGCTACATTGTCACCAAGTAAACATAGGTGGTATTTTATTTAAAAAGCTGTGCGAAGCAGAGGCGCGCTACTAGTATTGTATATAAGTATAAATTCGTATAACGAAAGAGCAACTAAGAGTTCGCTTGTATTTTATGAAGTGCAATTACTGTCTTAATATTTAAATGTGAAAGTTTGTTTAGATGTTTTATTATTCAATTACATTTAAAAGACTTTAGTGCATGAAATTTAGTATGTACCTATATAAATTTTAAATAACCTGAAATAATACGGGTATACTAATTTACACAAGTAAAAACAATAAAACAGGAAGAACTAATGAAAATTTGTGTTTGAAATTTATTTTTACACTAACAACAATTTGTTGAAACGAAACAAATCAGACCAGGTAGATAAATACCTCGATTTTAATGATTCACTTTCTAAAACCACAATCTACTACTGAGATATAATAAAATAGGGCACACCATCATGTACCACTGATGCGGTTAGAACAGTGGTCGAAAAATCGCAGGCCCTTCGCTACTTCAAGTACCAAATATAAACATAGCTGTAAATTTTATACTGTATCAGAAATAAGAATGAGATTACATGCCGCATAAATTTTCTGTAGGAAGCATTTTATTACATCACGTGCGTCATTTGCATAATGAACATAGTAACCGTATGTAACCAGCGCTCTGCAGTTATCGAACTTGAACTTGACTCCGTGAATTGGAACGTTGACAATATCAACATTTACAGTTACCTATATCTATTATTTAATCTCTGGTTCTAAAGGCAGATATGGATAATGTGTTGGACTTCTACGTATAAAATGGCCGTTTGTTATTATAGACCCACACAAGAATACGTGGAATGCACAGGTTGCGCAAGCGGCCGGGTCCAAACGTTGTTACCGGGGGAGACATAAAAAGAAATATTTTATTACTAGCCACACCGGTACCACTAAATGTTCGGTGGGAGATAGATTGCCGCGGTGTGGGTGCGATGCCGACTGGTATCGCCACATCTTCCGGGTCTGTTTCTGATTGTATTGTTTTCAAAAACTTATAGAGTTATTTATAATTGGAATCAAACAAAAATATGTGGGACCAGTTAAATGTGCATGTGGAAAATAAAATTATAGGTAGATACGAATTTATGTACATAAATAACTATAGTGTTATTTATGTACAAAAATTAGCATCAAATAACTCTCTCTCCTAAAACTAAACAGAAAATATGCACTCTTATGCATATTCTTTGTTTAGGACTAACTTGTTATGCCACAATTATGTTAGCGATTAGGTACATGGAGTTTCATAATGGGTTCGACCGGATCACAAATAGACAGGACAGTGGTTTTTAATGAGGTAACTTATACATCTCCACAATTCTTTAACTAACAGAGTAATTTTATGTGTAACTTTATAATCGTCCATGATATAACAATCCCCCGGCATGCCTCCGTGCGATACCTATCCATTCAGGGTCGTTGTTAGCAGTTGCCTGAGGCATACATTATATATAATAAACTAGTACCAGAGGTATGCTACCTCTATAGCACCTACACAGCTTTGCTTATTACTGTTTTCCGCATCTTTGTAATATAATTGTTATTTTCCTGTGATAATTTTTTTTTATGTATTACCGATTTATTGACTATCAATTGCTATTGGGATGATTTAATGAATAATTATTCATTATTTTTATTATGAAACATATCGTAATCTATCTCTGATTATAATCAAGTTCGTTGTCGTATTGTAAAAAAAAAAATTTGTTTAATTTTGTTGTTAATAATACAACAAAGAAATACAAAATGAGAATATAGTAAAGAAGTTTATTATATATTATTTATATAATGATATAATTATACATATTGTCTACGCACATAAGGAGAAATAAAGCACATAATGTTCTCCGTATAGCAACACCAGACAAGTCGTTGCGATTCACCCCGTGAATACCGGAGAGATGGAACAGTCAAGTCTTTATAAAAAAAAAAAAAACTAATGGCTTTCAAGAGAGTAGGTAGATGTGTGTACACGGAACAGTTTTCAAGTTATTTTTATATAATATAAAATTTACAGTCTTAACTATTTGTATATCTATTCATTAATAAATATAATAAGTCAAGAATAAAAATTTATTCACGCCTCGAAAAAGGAAAAAGATTGGTGATCGAAACAAATTGGTGACCCCGACGTGATTTCAACTTTACAAATTTGCAAGTTTATCAAGTGGCAAAAATCTCCATCATCAACACTATATGTTATTCGAAGATTTGAAACAATAATCACAGGGAAGTAAGCCCAATCATTGTAATAAATTCCTATCCATTCCTTTTTTGTGTGGGTAGAAGTTGACAATTAAAAGTACGGATATATTTTTAGTTTAACTATTAATATTTCATTTTATATTGTATGTGGAGGTTTTTAGTACGATATAACGATCACTAAAATCATATTTAAATTTACGCCGGTGTTTTTTATCGGGTATTCAGAGAGGTTTCAACAAATATATTTGTAGCTACTTTTGATTTACTAAGTTCTATAACATATTAACTTGGAGCTGTTTTCAATGTGTGAATTACTTCAGTATAAGTCAGTACCTATTGATTCATTGTTTGCACTTTAATAATGACAGACTATAAAGATTTAGTAAAACAACGGAGCACAATTAGAGCTCAATTAACATTGTTTGAAAAATATTTACAACCATTACTGGAAACTCGAGAAATAAATAAGGTTAGGATTCATGAATTAAACTTAAGGCTAGTAAAAACTCGTGAACTATCATATAACTTTGATAAGGTGCAGACAGACATTGAGAAGTGGGTATTGGATGAAGATTTAGATAAACAAATTGAGGAACGCGAACAAACAGAAAATAAATTCTTTTCTTTAATTGCTGAAGCTGAAGCTCTGTTAGAATATTACAATAATGAAAACCAATCTGAAACTTCATCTGCCAACACTCAGTCTGCCTTAAATCTGAAGCTACCTCCATTACATATTTTAAGATTCGACGGACAGACCAGCATGTGGATAACCTTCAGGGATACCTTTCTGTCTTTGATTCATGAGAATGGAAGTATTCAAGAAGTTGCTAAGTTTCACTATTTGAAGTCCTATCTAGATGGCGCTGCCAGTGACGTTATTAGTTCTATCGCTGTTTCTGCAGCTAATTATCGAATTGCTTGGAACTTATTATGTGATAGGTACAATAATAAACGTATATTAATTAATGAGCATTTAAAAGCGATATTTTCAATCGAACCTTTGTCTAAGGAATCAGATAAGGGTATTCGTTGTTTAATTGATGCATTTTCTAAAAATTTAAGCGCATTAAATAGTTTAGAAGAACCGACCGATTCATGGGACACGATTATTATATACATAGCAGTTAGTAAATTAGACAGTATTACAGCGGGTAAATGGGAAGAATTTAGAAGCAATAAGGAATCACCTACTTTACAAAATTTTTATACATTTTTACGTCAAAGGGCAACAGTTTTAGAGACAGTCAATGCTAATAGATCAAATAAAAATGAAAAACGCAACAATATGGTTAAATCTAAATCATTTATTATTTCCTCAAAGACATCTCCTGATTTTTCTTGCACAGTTTGTGGTTTAAAACACAAGTTGTTTGACTGCAGTATGTTTAAATCGTTACCAATAGGAGAACGTATTGCTAAGGTTTCTGCCGGTCGTCTATGTAAGAATTGTTTCCGAGGCGGCCATCGATCATTCCAGTGCAAAATGAGCGGCTGTAGAATCTGCAAAGGAAAACATAATACCCTATTACACAAACAACTTTCATTACCTGTAAATTCAACCACTCCACCTCAAGCACACATACCATGTGATCAACAAACACATGATTCATCTACAGTACTGACAACTACACACAATGCTACCATTCTAAATGTACCTAAAACCACAGCTAATTTCTCGAATTCTATAATTATGTCTGCTGTCGCCGCCAATCAAGCTCTTTTGTCTACAGCGTTGGTCAAGGTGACAAACAATGACAAACCCTACATATTAAGGGCTTTATTAGATAGTGGTAGCCAGTCTACGTTTATAACTACAAAGGCACTACAGTTGATCGGACTAAACAATATTCAAAGTGTTCATCAATGTGTTTCTGGTATAGGAAACACAACTTTAAACATTACTAAATTAATAGATATCACAATACATTCTACAGTGAACACCTTTAGCATTCCGATACGATGTTATGTCTTACCTCATATCACAGATTCCTTACCTCACAAATCAATATGTATTAATGGGTTAGGTATTCCAAATAATATACAACTTGCAGATCCTAAGTTTTATCAATCATCAGAAATTGATATTCTTTTGGGAGCTGATGTTTTTTGGGAGTTGCTAGATAATTCAAAAATAAAACTAGGTCCTAAATTACCTATCCTTCAAAAAACTCAATTAGGCTGGATTGTAACCGGTCCTATTAGCGGAGGTAGTTCAAATAGTCATGTTATCAAATGCCATTTTTCTCAAGAGATATATAAACAACTAGCTATGTTCTGGGAATTAGAAGAAATACCTAATAATCCTAAATCTCTTGATGACAATTATTGTGAGAGGTTCTTTCGAGAAACTACTAAACGAGATGACAATGGAAGATTTTGTGTACAAATTCCACTTAAAGAATCACCACAAGTGTTAGGTGATTCATACAACGTTGCACTTAAAAGGTTTAAACAAATGGAAAGAAAGTTTAAACGCGATTCTTCTTTCCATCGAAATTATAGTAATTTTATATATGAGTACAAAGAGTTAGGGCATCTTGATGAAATATCCGATCATGAAAAATTAGGCTATTATCTTCCGCATCAAGCAGTAATCCGAGAGAGTAGTAGTACCACAAAATTACGTGTGGTTTTCGATGCATCGTCAAAAACGTCATCTGGAAAATCCTTAAATGATATTCAATATGTAGGTCCAGTAGTACAGAACGATTTACTATCTATCTTAATACGCTATAGACAACACAAATTCGTTATCACAGGAGATATTGAAAAAATGTATAGGCAAATTCTTGTCGACCCTAATCAGCGCAGTTTGCAAAAAATTTTATGGCGTGATAACGAACAGCAACCAATTAAAACATTTCAATTGAACACCGTAACCTATGGTACCGCTTCTGCACCATTTCTCAGTACCAGGTGCCTCATTCAATTGTCATTGGAATGCATTGATCCTATTATAGCAAGGTTATTGAAGGAAGATTTTTATGTAGATGATTTTTTATCGGGTGCTGAGACTGAATATGAGTTAAAAAATATAGTTAACTCTGTAACTACTATTCTGGCCTCTGCTTGCTTTCCGCTTCGTAAATTCCGAACGAACGCCCCATCTATATTTGATGATAATCCTGACACCTTGACACCCAAAGACTTAGATGTGAATGCTCGAACTAGTGCTTTAGGTCTTAAGTGGGATCCACGAAGTGATACTCTTGAGTTTTCTTTAAATATTAATACACAAGAGAGGATTACTAAAAGATCAATCCTGTCCAACTCAGCTAAATTATTTGACCCCTTAGGTCTATTAGGACTTTGTACTATCATTCCAAAAATGATTTTACAAAAAATATGGTTGAGCAAATTGGAATGGGATGATCCTTTACCAAAGGAACTGGAACAGTTGTGGATAGATTTTATTTTAAATTTGAACAGTCTATCATCTGTTCGTATTCCTCGTTGTGTTTGTATAGCTAATCCCATTAATGTCGAGCTACATGCGTTTTCAGATGCATCTGAATCAGCATATGCATCATGCATGTACATGAGATCGATTGATGATGCAGGAAATATTTTAGTTAGATTACTATGTGCAAAAACCAAGGTCGCTCCACTTAAAGCTATTAGTATACCTCGATTAGAACTTTGCGGTGCATTATTATCAGCCCGGTTAAGTGCAAAGGTAATGAGTTCAATTCGACGTAAAATTACATCTATATATTTCTGGACAGATTCATCAATAGTTCTTGGGTGGTTACACTCGCAATCTCGCGACTTGAAAACATTCGTGTCCAATCGAGTATCGGAAATTCAGCAGCTAACACTTGCGCAATCTTGGAGACATGTGCCGAGTCAACTAAATCCAGCTGACTTAGCATCGCGTGGCTTGAATCCCAAACAAATTCAGAGGGTAAATTTATGGTGGGATGGTCCTGAATTTCTAAGGCAAGATGAAAGGGAATGGCCGCAAAACATTGCACTTCTAAGTGATTTACCTGAAAGAAAATATCTAACTACTACTGCTAAAACATTAACAAACACTGTTACAACTACATACACACATACAAGTATTAATATTAATAAAGTCACACAAATTATTGATTTCAACAAGTATTCTAAATTTACAACTTTACAGAGAGTCATGGCTTATATACTAAGATATTTACATAACAGTAAATGTAAAATAGACAAACATACGGGACACTTAACTGTCGAAGAACTTAATTTAGCGATGAAAAGGTTAATTAAACTACATCAACAAGAATGTTTTGCTACTGAGATAAATATTTTAAAAATAAACAAAAACTTACCTTCTAAATCGCGACTGCTTTCTCTAAGTCCATTTCTAGACGATAACGGGTTCCTGCGTGTCGGTGGCCGTCTCCAAAATTCTTCTGAAATTTATACAAAAAAGCATCAAATTTTGCTTGACTGCAGTCACAATTTTACTAAACTTCTTTTTGCATATATGCATAAAAAGCATTTACATAGTGGACCACAATTATTATTAGCCAACATACGAAATGAATACTGGCCTCTGAAGGGTAGAATTTTGGCTCGTGGTACAATAAATAAATGTTCTGTATGCAGATTAATGAAAGCTAAATCTATAAATCCTTTAATGGGAAACTTACCAGCTTCAAGAGTTACTCCAAGTTATCCATTCGAAATCAGCGGTGTAGATTTTGCCGGGCCGTTCTTGATCACAGACAGAAAGGGACGCGGTTGTAAAATATCGAAGAGCTATTTATGCTTATTTATTTGTTTTGCCACAAAGGCAATACATTTAGAAATCGCTAGCGATTTATCAACGGATGCATTTATTATGTGCCTTCGTCGGTTTATATCACGCAGAGGAAAACCGAATCAAATCTATTGTGACAACGGTACTAATTTTGTAGGTGCAAATAATGAAATTAATAGTTTTCTAAATTCAGAACATGAAAACATCTCCACGTTTGGCGCTGATGAGGGCATTAAATTTAATTTCTCACCTGCATACTCTCCTCACTTTGGAGGTCTTTGGGAAGCCGGCGTAAAGGCGGCCAAATTTCATGCGGTCAGAATATTAGGTGATAGGCATTTGACGTTCGAGGAATTGTCGACTTTATTCACACAAATCGAAGCAATCCTAAATTCCCGACCTTTGACCCCTCTCTCATCCGATCCTACAGACTTAGAACCTTTAACTCCAGGGCACTTCCTAATTGGTAGAATGCTAACATCATTGCCATCTCCTAATTTGCAAGATATTAATCCAAACCGATTAAACCGGTACCAACTACTAGAACAATTGAAACAACACTTTTGGGGACGTTGGAGAAACGAATATTTGTGTGAATTGCAACAGAGGAATAAATGGAGAATAAATCAAGACAATCTAAAGGAAGGAGACATGGTTATCTTGAAGGAGCCTAATATTCCACCACTAAAATGGAGAGTTGGACGTATACATAAATTGTACCCTGGACGAGATGGAGTTGCTAGAGTGGCAGATATTAAAACTGCAAAAGGAATTTATCGGCGAAGCTTGCACCAAACCTGCCCACTACTTCACGAGGATGATAAAACAGATCTTCGAGCCTCTGAACCTTCAGTCATCGACCGGGGGGAGGATGTCTACGCACATAAGGAGAAATAAAGCACATAATGTTCTCCGTATAGCAACACCAGACAAGTCGTTGCGATTCACCCCGTGAATACCGGAGAGATGGAACAGTCAAGTCTTTATAAAAAAAAAAAAAACTAATGGCTTTCAAGAGAGTAGGTAGATGTGTGTACACGGAACAGTTTTCAAGTTATTTTTATATAATATAAAATTTACAGTCTTAACTATTTGTATATCTATTCATTAATAAATATAATAAGTCAAGAATAAAAATTTATTCACGCCTCGAAAAAGGAAAAAGATTGGTGATCGAAACACATATAGCTAAACACATATCATTGTTGTTATATTTTTTGAAATTTACACATACCGATTCATTAGACAGGAAATTAAGTAACGAGTATTTGTTTCCATGTATTGGAGGATTGTTTCCGTTAGGTAATGAAATCGTTGAGTCATTTCAGACGTGTTCGACACCGAGTGAGTCCACTTAAATTGCCATTCGACATCTCTGGACAATGGTTGGGCACAAACAATTCCCCTGTTCGCACTAGCGCGTTGTATATGTATTTAGTCCCATGACCTTCTCTGTTGGGTGAGAGGTCATGAATAGCGGTGGGCTATATATAGCTATTAATGACTCTTGCTATAATTATAGATATCATATTATTGTTATTTGTGCATCATCGTCATCTTCTTTCCGCTATCCTACTTATTAGGTGTCAGCGAAATATGTTTTTATCCACATTACCCAAGGTATCGGCTTTTACTTTTATGGTTAGCGGGCTGCCTGATGTCAACTCTCCCTGGGATAGCATTTTTGGCGGTATCTGTCACATGCGGTATGGAGGAAAGGATATATATTCCTCCCGCACCCCCCGCGGTAGTCGGACGGTTTAAAATAGGCTCCGTATTTTAAATTCTTTTTTGTTGTGAAAATGTTGAAATTGTCAATATCCGATATGGAAGAAGTTGTGCAACGATGTTTACGACCTTTGAAGTTGAAAATGGACGAAATCTGCGACTCCCTGGATAAGCTACAGGCAAAAATATGTAGAATGGAAACAGTACAGAGTGCCATTACAGCAGCGGCTTCAGAGGGTATGATGGAACAAAAACCAACTGAAATGGAGGTATGTGAAAATTTAATAACGCATGCTCCATCTCCAACAACCAATCGAACCGAACGGCCTCACGTGATGACGCGAAAGCAGCGAGCAAAGACTCCTCTTACTGCACCACTGCCGCCCCCAACCGCGCGCAGCCTCCTCCGTCGTCGGCGGACTCGACACTCATGCCTCCCACTACGAATATTCGACACACCTCTAGTGTGAATCATAGCGAGGAGAGAATATCGGCGCAGCGTTCACTGGACGATGAAAACGCTGTACAAGACGGTAGGAGTACAAATGAATGGCACACTGTGCAACGGCGCCAGCGCCGTCGAAGACCTATAATTAGGGGTACTGGAGATTTGGACGCAGAGATATCCGCCATAGAAAAAACTAGACAAATACATTTATGGTCAATGCGTTCTAATACAACTGTTGAACAAATAAAAAATTATATGAATAAAAAAAATCCGTTGCAAGATTATAATGAATATAAAGTTGAAAAACTGGAACTGAAACACAGAGACTACGCGTCATTTGTTGTCGCTGTACCGGAAAGCAAATTCAGCTTTTTTATGTCTCCAGAGAATTGGCCACCTAACACAGAATTTAATGAGTGGTTTCGTAGGCGAGAAAGTAAACGAAAGTCGTAAACAGGAACACAGAAAACAGTATGATAGTTCACGGAACACTTCGAGGTCAATATCTTTATACTACCAAAATGTCCGTGGTTTACGTACTAAGTTACACAATATTTCAGCAGCAATGGCGACAGCAATGGCAGACGTGTTCCTAATAACTGAAACTTGGCTAACTACAAGTATTAACGATTCGGAGGTTGTACCACCTGGTTATACAATTATACGAATGGACCGATCAGGTACGCGGCGAGGCGGCGGAGTGGCCGTCGCGGCCGCGCCACGGTACGCTCTACGTAAAATTGATATACCGTCACAGATTACAGATTCGGGATGTGAACTTGTTTGTGCGGGATTGTACCACAATAATAATATATTGATGGTAGTTCTCTGTGTTTATATTCCACCAAATACAAATGATGAAATGTATGAAATTGTTTTCAGTGTAATAGAAAGCGTATTGTTAAAATATGAAAAAATATTAATATGTGGCGATTTTAATTTAAATTCCGCAAATATTACTACGCGTAATGGATTTGAATATCTGTTGTCGTTCGGCGATCTCCAGCAAGTAAACTGTGTAACTAATAGTTCAGATGGAATGTTGGATTTGGTAATTGTGAGTGCGTCATTGGGTCATGTTTTGGTGCAGGAGGAGAAGGATTGGTTAGTACCACCTGATATGTATCATCCGCCATTGGACATACAGGTAAGTAACATGTTTATTCGTAATAAGTGCACGGGATTAAATATTGATATTGATACCTGTACTAATTGGAACTTCAAAAAAGCAGATTTTTACAAGCTGTATCAATCATTTGAAAATACAAGCTGGGATGCCTTATACAAAATTTCTGAACCCGAGGCCGCTGTTTCCTTTTTTTATAATATTGTTAATGAGTGTATAAATAATTGCGTACCAATTAAAATGCGTTTTTCAGAGCCACCTCGGTATATATATCCTGTGTGGTACTCTGATCGTACTAAACGCAACATTAAACTGAAGGCGTATCACCATCGTCGCTTTAAAAAAAATGGTAGTGTAAATAATAGGCAAGAATTCATGAGGCTGAGAGCAATGGTGAAATTGAATATTAAGGAGGATTTTGAACGCTACAAAAACGATATGGAACGTAATGTAAAAAGAGATCCATCAACTTTTTGGCAATATGTGGCTTCTAAGCGTCAAATTAAAAAACCTAGGGAAATATTTTCTGGGGGAATGCTTGTACCTAAGAATGAAGAGGTGCGAGCATTTGCCGAATATTTTCATTCGGTCTATGCGAAAACACCTCCTAGTTTGGATGCGGAGAAAGCTATTGCAATGTCAGGGTCGGAGGGTGCACGCATACATATCGACACCGTTACTCTTGATGATGTGGAATTCGCATTCAGACGACTTAAGCCAAAACGCTCTGCGGGTCCGGATGGTATTCCTCCTTATGTAATAAGAGACTGTAGTTCTGTATTTAAAAAGCCTATTCACTATCTCATTAATTTGTGTCTTAAGGAGTGTGTCTATCCTGAAGTGTGGAAAATCTCACGCGTAGTTCCTATACCTAAGGGTAACTGCAAGTCAGAGGTAAGCGACTATAGACCGGTGGCTGTGTTGTCTGCCTTCGGAAAGTTATTTGAATCGGTTCTACACTATCGAATTAGTAGGCAGCTTGACGGGCGCCTTAATGAATCTCAGCATGGTTTTCGGCCAGGTCGTTCGACGGCTACTAATTTGTTGTCTTTTTGGACATATGTCACAGAGGCTGTGGATTCAGGCTGTCAGGTGGATGCAGCTTACTTTGATATTAAAAAGGCATTCGATAGTGTAGATAATGACATACTTCTCCAGAAATTTTCAGCTGTCGGATTTTCTCCCAAATTAATTAAATTTTTCTCCAGCTACCTTCGCAATCGAAGGCAGTATGTGCAGTTCATAGATAATTACTCAGACTCATATTACACATATTCCGGGGTAAGCCAGGGCAGTAATTTGGGTCCGTTGGAATTTTTAATTTTTGTGAATGATTTGCCGGAGGTAGTTGATACAGCCTGTTGTCTGTTGTTTGCGGATGACTTGAAGTTATTTCTTAAAATTACTAGTTCCTCAGACTGTGAGCTCCTTCAACGAGATGTTGCAAATATCCTTAATTGGAGTGAAAAAAATCACTTGATATTCAATAACAACAAATGCTCCATTATAACCTTTACTAGAAGTGTTAACAAGATTACCTATAATTATCAATTGGGTAGCTCATTGATAAGTAGGGTAAGTTCGTTGAGAGATCTGGGGGTTTTGACGTGTGAAGAGCTTACTTTTAGAACGCATATTGTCGAACTGTGTACTCAAGCATTCAGAACTCTCGGATTTGTATTGCGACAAGCGCAACAATTGGATTGCATACAAGCTATTAAATTGCTATATAATGCTTTTGTTCGTAGTAAATTAGAAAATAACGCAATTATTTGGAACCCACATGAGTCTAAATATATACTTATGGTGGAAAAAATCCAAAAGAAATTTGTAAGATGGCTGTACCAAAAACAGTATGGTTTCAAGGTGTCTTATCCCCATATATACCCGAGTATGTTTTTGTTAGGTATGGTGGGCTATAATACACTTGAAGTAAGACGAAAGCTAAATTTAATTGAATATGTGGTAAAATTAGTGCGGGGGGAAAAGTGTAACCAAACTGTACTGGAATCAATATCAATAGGAGCGCCCAGTAACTACGTGCGAACACGTCGACGGCACTTATTCGATGTTCCATTACGAAGAACAGAGTTCGCTAAGCAGGCTCCCCTATCTCTTGCATTGAAACTACTCAATGATGTTTTGAGCCAGTATCCGCAATTGGATGTATTTGCTTCCAACTTGCTGGAGTTTCGTCGGGTGACCACAGAGTATTTGTGTTCAGACGTTTTTGTTTAAGTCTTTTTATATTATTCTTGTTGTATATATGTAATATTCCTTTTTTTATATGTTGTTGTATTCATGCTTTCCTGGGTGGGCGTATTGGGAGACTGTAAGGCTCACCCAGTGGATGTAATAAATAAATAAATAAATAAATAAATAAATAAATATACCCATATTCTCAGGAAAATCACCATTGGCAAATTCTTATTTATTACATATTATAGTTGTTTCGCGGACAGAGCTTGTGGTATACGATCCTGAAACGGGATACGAGGGGAAACAACTGTTACAGGAAAATATTATTAGGAGATTTATATTGAACTAAATTTAAAGATTTTGGAAACATACAGGATGTAAGATATATGAATCGAT